GATGCTGGAAGTGGACAACAGGTAATACTTAATCAGGTCAGCGTGTCTCTTTATTGTGTCTTTTAAAAAAAAGCTTCCAAAGTTAAAAGTCAGATATCAAGCTCATTTTCATGGTTATATTTATATTTGATAAATACTGTGACATGTTTCCATGCTTTAATGTTCAAAACACTGCAGCAACTTCTTTTCACCCTCTGTCTGAAACCAGAGCCCAGTCTGCTCTGATTGGTTAGCTTCCCGGCTCTGTTGTGATTGGTCGTCTTAGAGATGTCTCGCGCCTTAGCCTATCACGTCCAATATGTTGGAGCACTAAACCTATATAACACACTGCAGGAAAACCTCCAAAAGCGTAATGTGGCCAACAAGAGTGAAGAGATCTCTGTAGGAATGAATATATTGAGTGCGTGTGTTTGACCTTCATTTTGAAATCTCCCAAACTGCGTCTCCAGAGAGTCCTCCCTGTCAGCGAGGTCCAGTCTCCGCTGTGTGCTTCTCTCAGAGAGGGGATTTGATTTTTGCTGGTTATGAATCCGGTTTTCTGGAAGTATGGCAGCACAACACCGTGGTCGGCCACAAGCAGGTGAACACATACACAAGAACAAAGGATGTAAGCTGACCGTCTGTTTGTTTGTGTGCCTGTGTTAATCACACTGTGTGTCTGTTTGCGTGCATCAGACTTCAGACAGCCCCATCAAAGCGATCTGCTTCATGCCTGACGGACAGTTTGCTGTCAGCTACTTAAAGCCAGTTGTAGACGTGTGGAAGCTGGTGTGGAACCAACAGCACAGCACTGCAAGGTAACAAACATAAGAACAGTCCGACTATCAAGCTACTATACAGGGAATATGTTTAAACTTATTTTAATCTGAATTTATAAAAAAATTCCCCAAAGAAGTGTACAAACATATAGGTGTTAAACGTATTTTGAAAATTAAATATGCCAATATTTTTGACCAAACATCTTGATATTGCAAAGATACTCTATACTTGCATAAAAAAGTAGTATTTGTATACCTATGTAGTTTTATGTTTTGAGAGCATTTCATCAAACCTAAATCCTGTATGCTTATTTGATCTGAATTTCTTTTTTAAATCACTGACCGAACCTAATTTAGTTTGGCTTCATGCAATTTTGAAAGATTTCTTCCATATATGTTTTGTGTTGTCTGTGTAGATACAGCAGAATAGAAGTGGAACAAAACAGTAGATGAAAGTGTGAATAAATTAGTGAAATTAACCTGAAACCTAAATAAATGAATTAATTCCATAGAGACTTACAAATAACTCAGGTAAGGTGTTTGGAGTTTGGTTCTTTCCACTAACCAGTCCTGCTGTGTTTCTCTGCAGCCTGCTGAAGGTCACCACACACACAGTGAAAAACACGGTGGTCCGCCTCCACTACTGCACCATCCTGATCGGTGCGTCGGAGATTGGAGCAATATTTGATGTCACAAAGTCCGGGAGTGATTCGTGGCAACACACAATCTCTAGGTAACACTAGACAATATTTACCATTTTATTTTGCCCTGGTTTTTTAAGAGAAACTTCTTACTGAAAATCTTCATCAGTATTTCCATTTAGATTGTTTTCTCGTAGTGTGTTATATAGGTTTGTGTGCATGTAAATGGTCTGCAAAGGCTAAAATCCCAAATGTAAATCAGGAGGGAGTTTCTCTCCCCCCACAGTTCAGCTCAGTTAGTCAGAGACGGTGCTGTGTTTTTTTTTTATTTGACACTGAGGTTTTTTCATTTTCTCAATCCCCAAATAATAAAAACAGACTTAAAGCTATTCATGTGTTTTTTTCCCCTTTTTACAGTTTAGAAAACTCAGTCCGGTTTTTGGGGATGATCCGTAACGATGAGAAAAGCATGTGGCTGGTGGGCGAGGAGGACGGAGGAATCCAACTCGGGTTCTTTGTGAGTTTTGCAATACTGATATTTGAATTACACTTTAACACATCATATCATAATGAGGCTAAGGAAATGTTTTGTGTGGCCCTAAGATGTATTTGTGAAGAATAAAGTATTGTCAATTTAAAAACATTACCTGGCAATCATTAAAAAAAACAAAAAAAAACAAGTAAAATATTTAGATTAGATTAAATTAAATCTGATTAGTTTATATACAATTTATTGATACCAAATTAGGAAAATGTTTGAATTCAGATCAAACCGAAATGTATTACATTACATTACATTACATTGCATTTAGCTGACGCTTTTATCCAAAGCGACTTACAATAAGTGCATTCGACCAGGAAGATACAGTATCTTCCTGGTCGAATGCACTTATTGTAAGTCGCTTTGGATAAAAGCGTCAGCTAAATGCAATGTAATGTAATGTAATGTAATACATTTCGGTTTGANCTCTCAATCCATCAAAGTATTTTGTAACAAATTGCACAGCAAATTTAAATAACTATCCAACCTATAAGTAATTAATTAATATTTGTTACAAAATACTTTGATGGATTGAGAGNTCAAACCGAAATGTATTANTATACTGAGCGTATACCACGGGTAGAATTGTAAGTTACTTTTCACAACAAGTCAGTATCCCTCCGCGTCTGAGAAAAACAGTATACCGTTGGGCTGAAAAACTGGAACAAGAAAGCAGCGGAGAAGTAACGGGGCAGAAGCCCTCCTTTTTGACGCAGCGGTCCAGACATAGACATCAAACGGCAAAACATATTCAGTGTGCAGTTCCTTTGGCATTAGGGCAGGGATATCTAGATACTTTTGAAGGTTTAACATAATGAATTGTGCTACTTTTAAAGCAAGCAACGATGTTTTCAAATCTGTAATCAAAGAGGTCCGCAAAAACGCTATCGACCAATCGGATTGCTTGATTTGACTTGTCAGTTTTATAAATATATTTAAATTTCTTCCGTTACGAAACAAACTTACAAAGCATAAAATGGAAACATTTAAGATTAACATCATTATAGTTTTTATTAGTAAATAATGATGTTCAAAATAAAATAGTCCCTCCGTTGCCTTCTGAACAAAACATAGTGCAAGGTGGTTGCTATGCAACAACACTAACAGCAAGGGTTATGTTGAACCTATGGATCTGTCAGATGGGCAGGCAGGGATTTAGTTTTTCTATCACTGGGCAGCAGTTCTGCCAAATAGCTGATGCAGGCAAGTTCAATCTCCCGCTTCCAAACAGCCACAACAACAACAACAACAACAACACATCCTGCTAAAACTCTCCATCATATGAGGTGAGCTCTATGATGTAGCTTAACTGTGAATACCCATGCATTTAATGATAGCTAACAATAAGGAAGCTCTAGATTTCAAATCATGTATTTTTGGGGAAATTCTTTGTTTTACTTTTAACATTTATAAGTGTGTTATTTTGGATTTACTGTACATTTGTATTTATACTGAATATTTTCTGCTAGGTAATAAGCTCATAATAATTGTTCGAGCTATGATCTCTGACTTTTTTTTCAATATTTAGTTTGCATCTATTTCAGCCATTTTGAGTTTTTCAAAATGTTTGCATTGAAATCAGGAAATGAAACTCACCTTAGTTGTGGTGTTTTCAGACGGACTGTCGGTACTGCCTGTGAGCTCATTGTCCAGAAGATCCTGAAACACACAAAATGAACAGTCAGTATATGACGGACATGATAGTTGATAGTCGTATTTTTCAGATTAAATATCGCTGTGCGCAGGACGTGTAACAGAAGATCTTGTTTCACCTGAGATGGCCTCCGGGCATGTCGTTTCAGGATCCCACCGAACACACCGGATTTTTCCTGAAGAGAAAAAGTCAGAAGTTTCCCAGACTTACATTTTATTTTAATTATTAGTTTTTTTAATTCTGCTATATAATTGTTCTGCTATATAATTGTGCAGCTGTCATCTCTGAAATAATGTCCACAGGTTATTTTAATGAAATTCTTTATATTTGATTTGTCTTCTTGTGCTTTTGGTAGGGCTGTGCAATTAATCCTATTTTAATCTCGATTACGATTTTGGCTTGCAACGATTACGAAAAAAACGTAATCGAAGTAAAACGATTATTATTTTTATTAAAAAGAAAAAGAATGTAATTATTATTTTTCTAATTATTTTTTTTATCGGTTTTTCAGTTGAATTATACTTAAAGTTCAGGGTAATCAAATGTTAAAATCATACTGTTCACATTTTTTAATAAATGAATGTTTTCAAAGTAAATGGATAATCGTTTTTAATAATCGTGATATCAATTATTGACCAAAATAATCGCGATTATGATTTTTGTCCTAATCGCACAGCCCTAGCTTTTGCATTAAAATAAATTGGCTGTTGAGACTGACCTTAGCTGTGGTGTTTTCTGACAGACTGTCGTCAATGGCTGCAAACTTGTCTTCCAAAAGATCCTGAAACACACACGATTACAATGAAACGACACCATTTTATATGTTGAGCCTTTAGCTGATAGGTGTATTGTTCCACTGTGAGCAGGGTGTGTAACAGAAGATTGTGTTTCACCTGTGAGGGCCTGCGGACATGTCCTGGTTTAGGAGATCTTTTCAGTTTCCCACCAAACACACCTGATTTCTCCTGAAGAGAAACGTGCAGCGAAAGGTTTGGTTTTACAAAATAAAAAAAGGAGAACATTCTGGGTGTGGATATCAGAGACATGACGGAGCAAAGGAAACTCACCTTTGATGGCTTGTTGTCTGTTAAGCCGTCACTGCTGACGGACAGTTCAGGGTTTTGTACTGACAGGGAGACCTGTAGAAAATGGAAAATAATTTCACAACTCATTTTACAACGAACAAATTAATAATATTTGCAACATTTATCACAAAAAAAATGCCTAGTGGTGATATATTTGTGTTGCTTTTGAACAACAGCCTAAACTTTATATTTAATATAAAGTGATATTAACAGAGAAAAACTGAAAATCTAAATTATTATTATTTTTTTTTTTTAATTGCTTTCACAATAACTAATTAAACCACATTTTTTGTAATCTTTGTCCAATTGTTATATCATCCCAGTGTTAGTTATACTAAATAAGTAATAATATAAACAGCACAGTGCGTTCCATGAGGAGTCAACCAACCTGTGGCTGTTCCTCTTTGGCAGCCTTGTTGGTCTTCTTAAACATGCCTTTAAATACGCTTCCTTTCTCCTGAAATATGAAGAATTGTGCATATTAAAGAAATCACTTATTTGTAAAAACAGAATTATATTTACTCAAAACTGAAATAGGGTTTGAAAATAAAAACAAAAAACAATTCATAACCCAAGAAAGGAACGGACCTTGGTGCTGCTGTCAGTCAGACTCTCGTCGCTCTTGGAAAGCTCACTGCTGACTGATAAACTGTCCTGTAAAGCAGCATGGAAACTATGTGAGATGATGCAGAATCAAATGTGAATCCATAATAACAGTTTGTTTATTTCTGAATTTCACGACCTGATTGTATTGCTTTTATAGTTGGATTAGGTACATGTGATGTTAGTTGTTTAGAGTTAATGCTACTTCATCACCTGTTCTTTGAGAGAGGGTTCTGATGACTTGAGGGATTTCTTAAACATCCCACCAAATAACGCCGCTTTTTCCTTCATGAGGAGGGAATAAAGGTAGAAAATGTGACTTCAAAAACATATTTATGCTTCTAAAAATTCTGAACGGTTAAAAAAGCGTATCTCTGATATGGTTTTAGGAAGTATGAGTGAGTAACAGAATCATTAACTGATATTTGAGAGTCAGTAGGATGAATCTGTCTCTCTTTAACTGGAAAAAATGCTGCCAATGTTCAGATAAAAAGGCTGTATTAACCCGTTTACATCTCACAGTCCAGCTTCACGTCCAGCTTTCAAGTCTGGACTTGAAGCTGGTTTCATGTCTGCACTTGAAAAGCTTGATGACAGTAAATAAAAGGGTGATTGTCATGTTTCCTGCTCTGGGAAAACTTCTCATATCAGATGTTCCTGTTTAACAATCACATAAAAAAAGCAAACATGACAACATTAACGCATTCAAACAAAGGACTTAAAGTTAGAGATCTGGATTCAAGCTTTAAAGTCTCTACATTTATATTGACTGAACAGTGTAGGACACATACCCCTTTATGTACATGACAGTATTATTGAGTGCTCAGGACTCTTTCTCAAGGTTAACTTGGCTACAAGTAAAAGTAATGCATTTAAAATATTGCATAGCACCAGTAGTCATTATGTAAACTGGATCATACCAGAATAATGTCAATTATATTATTGGATTACTCAGTAAGTGATGTGTAAACACAGGCTATGTTTCAGCTGGAAAAGGTTGGGCTAATATTAGCTACTTGCTTCTAACAACATGTGCTGTAAAATATTGTATGATTGATCTGAATCTGCAACTAGTAAAAGTACAATATAGGCTTCCAATTTGTAGTGGAGTAGAGATATAAAGTGGCATCACATGGAAAAAGTAGAGACTAAAGTAGGCTAGATAGATGTCACACCAAACTAAGTGTATAAATATAGCATTAGCCTACATTCCCACACGGCTGTTTACATAGCCTAATCATGGACTGCACTGCGTGGACAGTTTCAGTCACAGATAGAGGTCAGGTCGATAAAATCAACTAAAACATGGCTGTTGACTCTCACAACTAATATAACAACTCAGCTAAACTTAAAAGACAAAAGTTAGCAAGCTAAAGCACTACATTAAAAACAAAACATCAGACGTGACTCACAGTTACGCCTCCTCCCCTTTCACACTCCAGATCCAGGTCGAGGTTATCGTATCGATCCTGTCAAACAGCAGAGACATGTCCAACGGTTATTCAAACGTAACGTAACATTAACGGATATTTTCAACCGTTTGCCGGGAGAAACTTGACAGAAAGACGGACTTTAACCGCTTTTAAAAGAAGAGTTTAAACGTTAACTCACCATTGAAGCTGCTCCAAGTCTGCCTTTGTTTTCCCGGTGGTTTATCGATGTTGGTATTGATTTAAATGATTCAGTCCTCGGCCACAGTTAGCTGGTGCAGCCCGTCCCCGCGTTCGGCTGTTTTCACTCAGCCGCTTTCCTCCCTCCGCTGGGAAAATAACAATACAAAATAAAGAGGCTGGAGATCACAGACTTCCCTCTGATCCTTGTGACTTCATAAGGCAGACATTGCTGAAACTGGCAGATCCAGTTTTTTTTTAAGCTGTCTTGCCTTTCAGGTGAGGGCGTGTCTGTCTCACCTGGGAATGTGTCATCAGCCTGATGCTGCTTTCAGGTGCTGCTCGGGAAATTATACTTCCGACTTCCCCAAGGCTAATGAAAATGTCACGCCCTGCTGACTTGCTGTGTTGGAATAAATATGTATTTAAAATAACCTACATTTAAGCAGTGTTTCAATAAGCATTTCCATGTTATGCTATATACATTACTTCTACCTTTCAATGTTTCAGAGGCTAATATTTTGTATTTTGTACTAACTAAACTACAATAAATAAACACCCACTTTCTTAGTTAATTTGTATAAAATACGTGAAATGCCAACATGATATGACGCATGGCTGTACTACAAAACACAGTATTTTAGACAGAGCTGGGAGAAGTACTCAGATCTTGTAATTGAGCAAAAGTAGAAGCACCAGAGTGTAGGAATACTCAAATCAAAGTCCTGGATTCAAAATGTTACTCGAGTAAAAGTACAAAAGTATAAGCAAGTAAAAGTAGTCATTCTATAGATTGTTCTATTACAGAATAATATATATGATATGTTTTATAATTATTGATGCACTAAAGCGTTATCAAAGCTGGTAAAGGTGCAGCTAGTTTTATTGACTTTGTATACTTCAGGGTAGCTTGTGAATTTACTCCAGGTGGAACTAAAGTCAGATTTAAGAGTTGATTATATTTCACATTATTAATCTAAATCTGTAAAGTAACTAAAGGTATTAAATAAATGTAGTGGAGTAGAAGTACAAAGTAGCATAAAATGGAAATACTCAAGTAAAGTGCAAGTGCCTCAACATTTTACAAATGTACATTTAAATTACTTGAAATGTTTAAGTACAAAAGTATTGCACCAACATAAAAAACTAATCTTAAATGAAATATACTGCCACATTTTTATGTGATAAATAGTATCCCATTAAGCTTCAAATTTGTATTAATTAAATGGCAAAAACATCCAAATTCAGTGTGCAGCAGTGGGAAAAGCTTTATTTACTTAACATGTTTTATTGCACTAAATGTGACCCATCGTCAATAAAGCAGTAGCAATTGAGTTCAGATAACAGAGCTGTAAAAGCATTATCTGATAAGCTGTGTTTACATGTCTGCCATCGGTGTCTCAGCTGAACTCGGTCCCTTGCAGAGTGCAGAGTTTTGGTTTAATCTCCTTTTACATTCCACGATTTACACACAGTCTGACAACAACATGTGTGTCACCACAACTTTTTTGTTTAATAGAACAACTCTGTAAATACTTTTTAAACCATAAAACAAAAACAACAACAACAAAACAACAACTGCCAATTTGTACATTCAATTTATCATCAAAGAAAATACATTTTAATTTTTCTGTGTTTCATATCCCACATTGTTATTTTGAACAATTAAACAAACAATAATTAATGGAACTTTCACAAAATGATACCTGACAAAACCTTTAAGGCGTTTTCTTTTTGCTACATTTGCAAGCTTTTTCCCCCATCTAATTTAAAGGCACATGTTAACATATATTTGCAACTATTACATAGATGCAGATCCCTGTATGTGACATAAATGACCCTATATATAGGATAACTAAAGTATTCCAATAATGATTTAACCTTTATATAGTGCACAATCAACTTCATTAAAGCAAAGAGTAGGCAAAACATTCCCAAACAATCTTTGGTTAGTGCTCTCGCGTCGCAGTAGTTTTCTTAAATACAGCATATGACATATCTTGAGTATTATTCCTTCCACGAGAGGAAGTAGAGTTTTCCCTGTCCGTCACCACAAACCATTTCAGTGGGTTTCTCAGGGTTCAACTCCAAGTGCAGGACCGGACCTCCACACACAAACATACCCACCTAGAGGGAGAGAGAGAACGGCAGCAGAAAGTTAATATTTATTTGAAGACAGTCTAAAATAATCTAAGTAAAAAAAGGTCGACAATTTGACCATTTTATGCAGATTCAAGACTTTTTATTGGTATTTGGATGTTTTATTATAACTGTAGACAAAGGCCGGCTTGCTGTATTATTTTTTGATATTCTTTTATTCTCTTTAGATATTTATATAGGCAAGGCAAGTTTATTTATACAGCACCTTTCAACACAAGGCAATTCAAAGTCCGGTAACACTTTATTTTGATAGTCCATAGTTAACACTCTATAAGTCATCAGTTGACATTTAGTAGCATGTCAACAGTGCATCAGTTGACATTCAACAGCACCGTTCAAACCGACAAGTAACTAAGCATTAGTTGATGATCAACAGATAAGCAACTCAGGTTTAGTTGAATATTACATTAAGCATTAGTTGATGATCAACAGATAAGCAACTTCAGAGTTTAGTTGACTATCTGTTGATCGTCAACTAATCTAGAGTTGACTATTAGTATACTTTTAGTAGGTTCTCCACTAAGCGTTTGTAGGCATGTGTTAGGACTATCCAATTAAAGTGAAAAACAGTTGAGAACAGTAGAAAGTCTATAACCTATCAACATAACACATACATGCTACTAAATGTCAACTGATGACTTATAGAGTGTTAACTATGGACTATCAAAATAAAGTGTTACCCAAAGTCCTTTACATTTAAAATCAGTCATTAAAAAGAAAGATATAGTCATTCTATATCTTTAGTCATTCTTTCTAAATGTATGTTTGTTTACTTTTCTTTTACTATGCTTATTTTTATGCAGCCACACCTTTAATATTTAAACACCAGATGTATTGTAATTGAAAACCTCCTGAGCAAACAATCAGATTCTGATTCAGTCTTCGTGCTGTAGCTTCATATTTAACACACAGATATGAGAGTGGTGTCAATCCTCTCGTCCAAATATTCTCCTCAGTGTGAACTATCTTGTTTCCATAACTTTCAAACTGTTCTTTAACCCTCTGACGTACCTGTTTCTTGGTGTTTCTGTCCCACAGCTTCACCGTCCGGTCGTAGGAGGCTGAGATGATGCTGCAGTCAGTGAGTTTCAACACACTGATCCTGTCACTGTGGGCCTGGAGATAAAACATCCACATGAACAACAATACAAAGTGATGTCACCGCCAATAATGTCTGATGTTTGCTTTAGTTCCCGGCCTGATTGTGCTTTTTCCAAACAACACATCGTCTGGTTATTGACTGTTATTGCTTTTTTTTTATTCTTGTAGTTAACTAAGATTTCAATTAGGGGTAATGTCATCCCCTGCGTTTTCCCCTTTCAATGCTGTACCATAAAATAAAGGGCAGTTTATAGTTAAGGTAGTGAGGAATCTTTGAATACAAATCTTAATCAACAATTCTGATAAGATTTTAACAATCTATTGATTAAAAATGCCAAGAGAATTGATGTTTGTATTTTTTGCAATTGTAGGGATTTGTGGCCTTTCTATGTTGTTTTTAATGGTATATTAAATACGTTTGTGGTTTTGAATTAATGTTTGATTAAACAAGACTCTGTAGTTGCCATTTCGGGCTCAAGGAATTTGTGATTGGCAATCTTTTTCACTATTTTGTGACGAGTCAATGATGATCACTGATCAAACGATGTTGCAGTCATTGTTGAAAGTAGTTGCAATAGCTCACTGAAAACTAGATGTACAAATTGAAATACTGTAACTATAATTTCTTTAATCAAGCTAATGGTGTTTTTATTTGTGTGCTACAGAGTTGATGAGCTCTTACAGGTTTTCTGCTGCTCCATGAGGAACCCTCTGAAGTCTGGTTGAACCACATGTTGCCTTTTATGTCCCCACACACGACCAAATCTGAAAACATTTAGAGCACATCATATGAACTGACATATTTAAAATCTTGCCAGTACGAATATAAAATAGAAAGATGCTTGATGTAAAAGTAGGAGTGAGTGTATCAGCGGCAGCGGAAACAGTATTTCAAGTAGATGTTAGTACCTTTGTCCAAAGTTCCAGCTGTGATCAGGCACCCCTTCTTCTCCTCTTCATCAGTGAATAGATCCATGGTGCCTAAAGATCTGTTAAAACTATACTGGGGGCCCATGGCGAACTGAAGAAAGAGAGGACATCTATCAATATTTTCTATGAATGAAACATGTGGTACTCAGAGATTGGTACTCATATATCAAAAAGTATATTTTTAATGAATCAGAAACTTCTTCATTAAATGTATCAAAATAAAATACACAATACAGCCACAAGAAAATGTATTTAAAAAACACAAGTGATTAAAAATAGAGAAATGTGGAAATGTTTGACTGTCTGTAACTATACCCTATAAAGAAACCAAGATAAAAAAAAGTTAAAATAAACTTTCGGGCATTTAGTTGACTCAATATGGGTCTGAGTGTATTTACATATTTACATAATCACACATTAAATCGAACAAAGAAAAGTGAGGCCACGTTGATAAAGCAATACGTTGGTGTAATTACATTTCTAAGATCTGAGTGTGATACAAAACATAGAAGCAATGGAAAAGCAACCCCCATCCCCTTCCCCTCAATGCTAACAACAACCTAAAAAAAGCTTTGAGTGAACCCTGACTCTGCAGTCCAGGGAACACAAAGAGATTTGCTGGTTCACAGTGAGCACGTTACTGGAGCTGTCATGTGATGCAGCTGCGTTTAGCCACAAAGTGTGATCAGGCTTATTGTATTTTTCTCCAGTTAAAACCTGGGGGTGAATATCCGTGTTACTTGAGAATAAAATCAAATATTATATCATGTATTTAAGTATTTAAAATACACTCTCAATCCATCAAAGTATTTTGTAACAAATTGCACAGCAAATTTAAATAACTATCCAACCTATAAGTAATTAATACATTTCGGTTTGATCTGAATTCAAACATTTTTCTAATTTGGTATCAATAAATTGTATATAAACTAATCAGATTTAATTTAATCTAATCTAAATATTTTACTAGCTTTTTTTTGTTTTTTTTAATGATTGCCAGG